GAGACTCGGAGGGGCACTGTGGTAAGGTGAGCCCACAGGTAAGGTGAGCCACCCCTTGCTTCTCGGAGACAAGTTAAAAAAAAACATGAGAATTTGACAATGTTTTGGGGAAACACTTCACTCTGTGGAATCTGTGAAGGTCAGTGCCACATGGCAGAAATGGTTCGACATTTATTGCAACTGATGAGAATAAATTGAGTCTATAATACACTTTATGATGACTGTGTAAAGACCAAAGTGCAAAGATTTGTGCATTGTCACAAAATATTGTCTGTCCAGCAAGGGGCACAACAGATACATGGACAAAACCTTTAATATGATGTGCATACAAACTATACTACGGTGAGACAGCAATTAAGATGATCAATTCAGATTTTTTGTTCAATAAAATCTTTTTACAAGTATGTTTGATGTTAGATGTTCTGTTGTGTTGTTGTTATTTTGTGTTAAGTGTTCTGTTATGCTGCTGTGAAAGCGCCTTATAAATAAACATGTGTTGTAGTATTGTATTGTTTAAATGGTGGATCACATGATGAAAAGAAATGTTGACTTCTCATGTGAGCATGTCGTACTGACACATTTGTGGCAATTTCCTGATCCTTGTTTCAAAATTGGTTACTTGCTGTTACATTACACAACAACAGGGGTGTCCAAAGTCGGTCCTCAAGGGCCGCTGTCCTGCCTGTTTTCCAGCTCTCCTTGGAGCTACACACCTGATTCAAATAATCAGGATCGTTCTAATGCTGCTTGAGATCTGGCTGATGAGCTGATCACCTGAATCAGGTGTGTTGCGGCTGGGAGAGCTGGAAAACAGGCAGGACAGTGGCTCTCCAGGCCCTGAGCTGGACATGCCTGATTTAGAGTGTTCGATCACCCTGCCACATATGTTTCTGGAATGTGGGAGGAAACCGGAGTACCCAATAAAAAAAAAAAAAAAACAGCAGGAACAGGGAGACATGTGCAAACTCCACACAGGTAGGCCGGCGCTGGGATCAAACCCACGACCTCTGCACTGAGTGGTTGACGTGCCATAACTGGGAGGCTGCTGCCCACTAGGCACCGCCGATGTTGCACCACACATGTGCCAAGGCGGTGACTGCGGGGAGGGTGGTACAGAGGGCTCAGAATAGTGCAGCAAGGTAAGGGACTGAGCTCCTGCCGCCAACTGTTCTTGCCTAGTCTGGAGCTCACTCCTTCTGTGCTTTTACTACTGCTAGAAAAGTGCCTGGATTAGAACCCAATTCCTTCAGAACTCCAAGCAACATCACTCAGTATCAGGTGAAAGCGCCACATGCACTTTTGTATTTTCCAAGCCGACAAACACGACAAGGTATCTTAAAATGACATAGACAATGGAGATAATTGTGACATTTCACTCCTTGAAGCCATCCATGTTCTGTGTGTGCATTTTCGAGGCAGTTTTTGGAGCAAACACTCGAGGCTAGTTCTATTGCAGTTTGAACACACTATTTTAGAAGAGCCCAAAGTTAGAGACTGAAATGACACCATTTTGGTGTTTTACATTTTAAAACGGGCACGGGTGATGAAGAATCACCAGTGATTGTAACCCCTGAATAAAAATTCTGTGTGGTCGGACAACATGACATCAGAGAATGAAATATCATCAATAAAATAATTATTTTTATCCATGAATTAAAGACCCTCCTCAGATTGATCAATGTTATTTCCTTTTGGGAAGTCATGCACACTTGTCAGAGTGGCTTGGTCTAGTTCTCATCAACATTAACAAGTTCAAATTTACAACACTATATCACATCTGCAGACAATGCAGAGAAAAAAAGCCTAATCGGTTGAATGTATTCTGTTGCTCTGCAGTCGTGGGGGTGGGCAGTGGGTGTCAGCTGGTCCAGTTTTGGAACTGATTTTTGTAATGTAATGGAGGACTGCACAGTGCATCCATGCACACAGCAGGTCGGGGTGAAAAATCTATTTTATTTGTGGGTTGTTTGTAAAATAAGAACGATTTCTGTCTCCTTTCCAGTGAATATAGAGTCCATCACCTCTGTTCAGATGTGAGGTTTATGTAATTAAAAAATCAAAGAAGAAAAGAAACAAAGATGTTTTTCCTCATGATGTGGTTGGGGAAACTGTGTTATAGTCTGATGACATCCAATTAGAAAGAGGGTATGCGTGCTTATGCCACCTCAGTTTTTTATTTTTACTTCAGCTCTCAAGTATATATTATATATATATATATATATATAACGTCCCATTCTTGATAACATATAGAGAGGAGTGGTGTTGACTATCAGGTCACTGGTAACCGAAAAGATAAGAGTCATGGATTTGTAAACCTCAGGTACTGGTTTGAAGCCCCACCATACTTTGTGTCCCAAATTCCACTTTGTACGAACTGTTTCATTTTATCTTGCGCCTTTTGACGTGTTGTTTTGGTTTCTGAACACAGAAAATATATGTAATTTATTCACAATGTTCACTCTGCAACGCCGTTTCCACCTTGTGTATGGCTCTTGGTACAGACCCCGCCATACACAAGGTGTGCAAGTCCTCAAAAGATGTTTTTTTTTACGTCGTCCTAACTATCCATTGAAGTCGGATTTTGTCCTTTTTTGTGGCGGCCCCCAACCAAACTGTGATGGAAGAACACGGGGTTGATT